CCTAACCATTCTATGATTCTATGAATTCTTTCGTGGTTTAAACAAACTACCAATATTGTTACAATGTTATTTCGATATGAAATCTTGTAGTGTTCTCACAAATATTTGGAATAGTAATTCTTGAATTACGTGCCCCCATGCCAACCAGACATTGTGATTTCCTTCGTCGTTAAACAACATTTCTTGGACTCACCATTATCTTCAATGTCAATTTTATCTAAGTCCCTTTCCCCATCATTGTAGCAATGAGATGCTTCACAGGTCTGCCAGTGTAGTTACGTTTGCTCTTCCCAGTAAAGTAGGGAGGATCTCTTACACTTTTTTGCAATATAATTGTAGTTGGGCCAAAGATGGATAAAATATTAGTATCATTTCAGCAGAGCAGAGGGCAAGGATTTACCATCAGGTGCTCAGTCACAGTCAGATGTTCTAACCCTTCGATTATTCTTCCCTGTCAGCATGGCTGGGAATAACGTGGCACTGGGAGACTTGGTTAATAATACTCTCTGCTCAGCTGGATTTGTTGTAAGCAGCGCTCAGAATTTGTGGAGAAGCAGAGTTGACTTTTGTTGAAAAGCAAAAATAAGAAATCCCTATAAGCTGGAAATCTATGCCAGCACACCTTCTTGAGCTTTCTTCGGGCTGAAGTAAAGGGAATTCCAGTGTTCAGAGTTAGTTTCCAGAAAAATGAATCACTGCTAGCTGAGTAGCTTGAGCGAATAAGAACATTTAAAAAAAAAGTGTGATATATTCACAAGTAGTGCAGTAATTCTCCATGAGTATTTTGACACTTAGCTGTGGGGTCAGCTCATCTCTCCATACAGTAAACCAGGCAACATGATATTGTGCACTTGATTTATTTAATGACCATGAAATATACGTAGGCATTAAAATATGGTTTTGTCACCTCTAAAATGGTAATGCTAAGCTAAAGGCAAAATTAGCTTTTGTGTATATTAAATGGATGACTTTCATTGGTTTAGTTTTATATATTATGCACACTTAGAACATGACAGTACCTTAACCTGAAGTTAAATATGTTAACTGCTGCTCTGCAAAGGGTTAGGGTGCTGCACTGTTCGTCTCACATAGTAATTAGAAATTCTGAGTTCTCACCACTCTGCTCTCTTCTTATGCTTTGAAACTTTGTGTGTGTGTAACTTTTTTTTTTCTCTTCATCACTCTCTTCAATCTCCATTCTTCCTTCTCTTAGTAGGGATCCTGTCTTTCTTCTGTCTGTGCTGACTTTAAATTCCCTGTCAAGATTGTCTGTCTACACCAGTTCAAAGTGAGGTGCTGGATGTATATTAGTTTTTTCCTTGTGTTCCTAATTTATCTCTGTGCTATAGGTTATACATCATTCCTTCTGTCATGAAAGTTTTTTCCATGTCAAGAATTCTTTGTCACCATCATTTTTCTTCTCTCCTAAACTAGATTTTCTCATTTTCCTTTCCTACTAAGACCTGCATACAAGCTCTCAGAGTTTTCCTTTCCTATCATCACAGTGTTTGTCTGGGAGATAAGTTGTTTAGAGCAACAAATATCATAAATTTGCTCAGTGTTAGACCAAAAAATAGTTACGAAGGTTTACTTATTGGGGACTGGTTTAGTGTGTGTCTGAGCTTCAGACAACTACTGACTTGTATAAGGACTGGATGTGCTAAAAGCTTAACTCTGGTTCAACATTTTGCCCTTTTTTCAAAATTTCTCCAGAAATTCATAGCATTTTGACCGGATTCCAGAGCATTCCAGAATGCATTTAAATGCATTCTGTGATGCAGTTTCTGCATCAAGAAAGGTAGACCAGACAGACAACAGAACAGGATAAGCCAGGTTCTAACAGGATTAGCCAGCAAGTAGGAAACACCGGTGGAGAAATGCAAGTCAGGATCTGCCTACCCTGGGGCTATAGAGTCTGGCTGCAGAGAGAAGATGTTGCAGCTGCACAGTGTCTTCGCAGAGATGGGGCAGAGAGTAGGTTGTAGCATTAGAAAACAACTATTGACTTGCTTTCCTCCACCTATTTCCTAGATAAACTAGGTGGCCTAGGAAAATCATGAAGATATATGCATTTAAACCAAAATTCAGAAATTCAGTTCTATTCATTATAGCAATTGACTGTGTATTTAGATACTGCTATGAACAGAAGTACTCTAAGTATTTGGAAGTTATTCTGATCTCATCTGAGTTACAATTTTACCACTGCCCCGTACTGAGTTCCTGATGCCTCTATGATGAGGAGGTCTCTTCAAATTTGCCTATTACTTTGAACTGCCTCAAATGCTTAAAAATCCACCTGTATCTGCTGTCAACCCTACAGGGATTGGGTGACAAAGCTCATGAATTTCTTGCTCATTTGCTTTTGATAAATACAAGCCATCACTAGAATTCAGAAACAGCAGAAATACCCTCATTTCTTGTAACTCTATGGAGTCATTACAGTTCTTAATATATTAACATTGTTTGCATGTGTGTTCATTATTTTTTGTGAATAATACAGTTACTGTAACATAATACCCAGGTGCAATTCCAGACACAAGAACCATGTTTGAAGCAAAGATAACATCAAACTCTAATCATTCCTGTGTTAATAGCAATATGCTACAACAATAATGTGATGACAAACTGGTTTTGCTCTTCTATGTCTATTGATTCATGTAACAATATAGATCATTATGTGAGTAACTATGGATTGCAGACAAATATATATCTTTACTAAAAGTAGCTATATTAAGAACCACATAGAAGGAGAAATAATAAACAATTATCCATGTAACTTTCGAATTTCCAGTTCAATGACTTAGATATAATAGTACATTTTTACACTGCATTTAACATGCGCTGTGATTCATGAATTTAGCTACCGTGCTTTAACTTTGTAGCTAACCAATTCTCTTTTATGGTCAGGATAAGAACAGCAATGGCAGCCCTATAAAAGTATAGACAAATGGGGAATTTTCTGTACAACATCAACATATCATTTTAATTTTTCATTTAACCTCAAAGTAATAATGAAAAATAATTATGTGTTTTTACAATAGGTTATTATACATTATTTTACAGATATTTATAATACACTGGAATTTCTCTTTACAGACCTTTTTGGCTTCCATCAGGTTTGTAATACAACAGAGACAATGATCATTTTAGAGTACATGCTAGTGACAAACACCATTAGCTGTGGCATTTAGAATGAACAGTCTTAATAATTTTACAAAATATACTGTTTACTTTTGCATATTTTGTTAAGTAACTTCCAGCATAAATTAAAAATATATTACAGTTAGGGTGAATTAATTATAAACAACTTTAGCATTTTTGCATGATGCTTTAGACTGGCTTTGGTTGTTATTTGGTTGTTAATGCTCATCAATTACTATCACAAATAATATTGTAAATATGTACTTAATTTAGTTAAATAGTGACCCTATGCTGAGTGATTTGTTCTCACTTTTCATAGCAGAGTTTTAAGTGAAATCATGAGTAGGTTTCCTATTTTTCTGTTTATTCCATCTGATTTAGAATCATGAAATGTTGTCAATAATTCCAGCAGTCTCTCCTACAACAAGGCTGCCAAGAAAATTTCCATTTGATACCATGCACTCTGTAGTTAGAATTTTCATGGCATTTAGGTGCACGAAAATTAATAACCTTTTGTATCAAATCCAATAGCTGTTACTGGAGCATTTGGAGTGCCTTGTCTCAAGACACGAAAGGTCACTGAGGATGACAGTGGTGAAACGGCAAGCACAGTCTCCCTCAGGAGTTTCCAGTGAAGTTGAGGTCCTCAAAGCTCTGAAATCTCTGTTTGAGCACCACAAGGCTTTGGATGAAAAGGTACAGTATGGAAAAAAATCTTACTATATACACTCTTTAACTTACTTAAATGTGCCTTACGATGCAGAAGAGCAACAGTATTGTTTATTTACTTTTTGGAATATGTCCTGTACTTACAGCATTTACACGTGTCCAGAGAGATCCAGAAGAATGTGTGACCAATAACTGTAATGCACTTCAGGTCACTTGAACTATCTTTTGTAGACAATAGTAATGACTTTTCAAAATAAGCAAATCTCACCCCTACCAGATATGCCTCACCAGTTTAGCACTAAATAAACATGACACCATGTAATTTATTGTCTGTACCGTATACTTTTAAGTTATTGCTGAGAAAATGTAGGTATCTCAAATTTTTAAAACATGAAGAGTAAAAAGGCATAAAAAACACATAAAAGATGTTGCCTCTTGAAGATTTTCAGGGGGAAAATCTAAGTTTCAGAGGTGGTTTTAGCATTTAATACATAAGCACAGTGTTCCCTCTACAAGTAGGGTAAACTAATAGTAGATCCTTCATTATCAAAAGTAATGAAAGGCTTGCAGAATCAAGATAAAAAACCACTGATGATAACTGCATATAGTCATGGTAATTAAGAGAGTCTTTCCATGGGATTCTTCATGTGTCCTGTGCTGGAAAGGCTCTTTTGTGTGAACGACACTTCGTACAAGTATGAGGCAGCACCTTGAGCGTTGCTTACAAGAATTCAGAAATCCAGCTTATGTCTAGAAAGAATATAGTCAGATGATGTATCTGAATTAGTTAAGTGCCTCAAAACTACACATGCAGGGAGCACATGAGAACCATTGCCCGTGAGCACAGAACCTAGTTCCTAGTTCCTTGTGTGGGTCTGTCTTGGATGATTTGCTTGGGCTCACCACTGTGGCTGAGTTGCTTCTCTGTTTGAGATGGTTGGGTAAGCAGGGGAGACATCGTGCAGCACAGCATCTGAAACCATTGACTGCGCAGTTGAGTTGTGCTGTGTAGAACTAGTTCAGTGGTCTCCTAGTAATAAATATAACTTTTCTAAGTTGACTATGTTTAAGGAACCATTATTAAAACAGCTTTATGAAAAGTATAGTTATAGTTATATAGCAATATTTATTTTTCATTGGTAATAAAGGTGTGAAGCACTATGGGCTATGAGTCATCCTGGGTTAACTATCAGGTTTTGCGTCCAGTTCTGGAGCCCCCAACATAAGAAGGACGTGGACCAGTTGGAGACGGTCCAGAGGAGGGCCACGAAGATGATAAGAGGGCTGGAGCACCTTTCCTATGAGGACAGGCTGAAAGAGTTGGGGCTGTTCAGCCTGGAGAAGAGGAGGCTCCGGGGGGACCTTATAGCGGTCTTCCAGTACCTCAAGGGGGCCTACAGGAAAGATGGGGAGAGGCTGTTCAGGAGGGCCTGTTGTGATAGGACAAGGGGTAATGGTTTTAAAATAGAGGGAGGTAGATTCAGATTGGATATTAGGAAAAAATTTTTTACCATGAGAGTTGTAGAACACTGGAACAGGTTGCCCAGAGAGGTGGTGGATGCTCCATCCCTGGAGACGTTCAAGGCCAGGTTGGACGAGGCCCTGAGCAACCTGATCTAGTTGGGGATATCCCTGTTCCTTGCAGGGGGGTTGGACTAGATGACCTTTGAAGGTCCCTTCCAGCCCTAACCATTCTATGATTCTATGATTCTATGATCAGGTTCAAAGTTAAATGAATTTAGGGAACTTATGCCAAATCAAAACTTAATTTGTGTTCACGTTTCTCTCTTTAGTTATATGTTCTATTCAGTTACATATTATGAAAGCATATTTAAAGAAAATCTGGAAAAGGCAATATAATGACTTCTAGCCACTGTAAGCAATTCATTGTAATAAGGTTCTGGATGTCATTAAGACATACAAAATCCTGTATTATTAAAAGTATCTTTTAAGGATTGATAGGGTTTATGGTCTGAGCTTTGATTTTTTATCCAACACTTTAAACATTGATAAAACTATAAAGAAAGTAGGAACTTCTCCTGCTTTTATACTTTTTGACACTATGTTGGATAAATTGAGAAATAATAAGAGCTAAACTTTAAATAGATTCTGATTATTCATTAGTTATATCTTTCTTACACATATTCTTTTGTTAGTGTTTTTGTGTTTAGGTACTATGCAGATTATTTTACATCTCATTTTGAAAATTACTGTACAGAATTAGATTGAAAATTCTTTAAAATTCTATTTTTATAGTTTTTTAATGTAACAGTATTCAATTAATTTAAAAATTTTGAAGTAACACAGGTACACATTTTATGCATATAATGGCTCTCTGTTCCAGTGGTAACGATAATCATCAGTGTAGAAAAATCAGCCATCTGCGATCATGTTAACAGGACATTTGTTACATTATAAAACAAATTTTAAATTTAATTTGCCAAAATTACCTTTTCCTATGTGCTATTCATCTATGCATTGAATCTTTTTTATTTTATAATAAATTATATTTTTATTATAAAATGTTCCAAGATCAATCAAGGAAACAGTTTAGTAAATGGTTTTAAAATAATTTGTTATAAACCTAGCACACATTATTTTCCGGTACAAATCCTGTATGAGACTATGTGTTCATATTTTAGTATCTCTCTTTAGATGGATTGGATCAAAGACATTTTATATATCATCCAGATACCTGATAATATGATACTATCACATTACCTCACACATTGTCAGCATTATTGGGATTTTTATTCAAAAATAATGGAAGTAAAAAAGACCGCATACACCCAAATGTGCTAAAAAATCTTTATGGCATGTGAGTCATCTATTCTACATTTTCTGTGACAGAAAAGTTATATAAGTTAGATTTGTTTCTGACTCTTAAGAAATAAGCTATTAATCCACTTATGAAAATTCGTTGAAGTTGTTCAAAGATTAGTAGAATAATGCAAGTTCAATCTCCTAGAGTACATCTGGCCCAACCTCCTGCTCAAAGCACGGCCGACTGTTGCTTAGTGTCCTGTCTAATTAACCTCTGAATATCTCCAGGTAGAAAACCTATTCTGATGTTTCACTACCCTCATTGTAATTTTTTCCCATAATACTAGCTTGAGTTTCTGTTGTTGAGTCTTGCGCCTGTTCCTTCTTGTCTCGCCACGCTGCATCTCCAAGAAGAAGCTGGCTTTGTTTTCTCCGCATCTTCTGGTTAGCTAGTTGTAGACAGCAATAAGGTACTCCATGAACTTTCCCTTCTTAAGTTTGATCAGACCTAGCCTCTTCTCATGTCATGTGCTCCAGCCCATGACCAACTTGGTGGGCCTTCATTAAAGTCTTTCAGTGTCTGCCTTGTAGCTGGGAACCCAAAACCAGATGCAATCTCAAAAGTGCAGATTCCCTCAATCTGCTGACTGAGCTGAGTGTCTGACCATATTCACCCCTAGGTCTTTTCTGCAAAACTGCTTTCTCTTCCCCAAGCCTGTCCTGTTGCCTGGGGTTATTCCATTCATAGTAATAGGATGCCACTTGGACTTTGTGTCACTGATCACAAACCTCTGAGCCTTGCAGTCCAGCCAATTTTCTATGCACTGTACAATCCATTTATCAAATTCATATCTCACCCTTTTTACTAGGGCTAAATAGAAGATATTGCCGAAAGCCTTGGTAAAGACAAATAAAAAACATTACTGTTCTTTCGTCAAAGGAGCCAATAATCTCATCACACAAAGCAATAAGGTTGGCAAGATGTCATTTGCCTTTGACAAAGTCATACTGGCTCTTCCCAATCACCGTCTTGTCATTTATATGCCTGGAAATGCCTTCCAGGAAGATTTGCTCCATAATCTTCCCAAAATTGGCCAGCTTGTAGTTCCCTGGATCTTCCCAGGATAATTCCTGACTTTCGTGATGCATGACACAACATTTATGGGTTTTTCAGTCATCAGGAATCTCCCCTGACTGCTGTTACCTTTCAAAGACGAAAAAACCTCACTATGATGAGTTAATCAAGTCTCTCAACACCCTTGGATGCAGCCAGTCTACTCCCTCTGACCTGTGTATGTCTTGTCCTCCTGTATTGTGGGTTATGCTTCCCTTCCACAGACTCTGTCCCTATGCTCAAGGAGGCCTGAGGGTAGAACTTTGCAGTAAATACTGAGGCAAAAATCCATGGTATATGATATACTGATGTCACAGGAGATAAACACTGCTCTCTCAGAAAATGCAGCCAAAACTGAAGTAGGTTAATGAATAAAGAGTAATGAAAACTGTAAAAAGAAACAAAAAATATATATAATGAAAACTACGCATTGAAAATATATAATGACCCTTTGCAAATGAATAATAGAAACCTTTTTCCTTTGCAAAAAATGTTGACATTGAAATCAATAATTTAGCAATCACAAGCTTGAAAAATCAAACCAAGATATTTTCATTAAAATGTTTGCATTTTAAATGTTCAAAAATCTCAAGACATTCTTTACATTTTTCCTAAATGCAAATTTTGTTTCATGCTTTCACTTCCACTTCCACTTCACTAAACATCTTGAGATGTTGTAATGAGCTCTGCCACAAAATTGACTGGTCATGCAAGGATTGCGATGTACACAGTACGGGAACTACAAAAACATCTTTATTACTATAAACAAATGCAATGAAAAATACAAAACAAACTGGAAGATGGAAAACAAAACATATCAATTCAGAGTTCATATTTCCAGGGAGACTTGCTTAAAGTATAAAGAGAACCAGGAATGATAACTTATTTCAAAAACCCTCTTGGCTCTCTATGTATTACATGAAGTCTGAGCTTTACATTTACCTTTTGTCCAAAAGATAGACCAATACAGAGAGATCGTGGCCATGATTGCATTATTCAGAGAAAACATGACTGCTGTTGACAGTATTTGAGTGTCTGACAGCTCTTTTAGCATCCCTTCACTCCCTGGAGAAGGAAAGCTTGTCATGAGCTTCCCATGCTAGAGAGCCAGTCCTGTTTGGCTGAACCCCGTAGGGGCATCTTAGTTGGC